ATATATATATATATTATTGTAACTTGGTTAACTATTTGAGGTCAAGTGAGCATAATAAATGATTATTTGAAAAACCATTCGACTTCCGACATTAACTTCCGTGACATTCAATGAATTGCTCTACAAATTTCAATTATTCATTCTTAAGATAATTTATCTTTCAATTACGTTTATCATTCTTTTGATGTCTGCATTTAATTTTTGTATATAACAGCTCGTTTACTATCGAATTGCGTTCGCTATCCTTATTTCTCAGATCACGTACTATTGGAAGAATACTCTTATCTATTTCTACTGAAAACGTCAATAATCCGATTAACTCTCGAGTCACGGTGGATTTTCTTTGCGTTCGCTGTGATTTCACTACAAGAGGAAAGAAATCCGATTCGCATTTGAGTTTCAATTAATCAATGAAGTATGTTTCACAACGTGGATCAAAAATCGCAAATAGGATGGATCGTTTTCCGATATCAATCGATTGCAAAATTGTTGATAAATCACGAGAAAGAGAAATCAACTCACAATGGGAGTAACTCGGCGAAGAGCCAAAATAGCATTATTCATCAGGTGGAAGCGTGCGGAGAAATACAATGATTCTTATCGCGGAACATTACGCTGTTAGGTGCGGTAAAGTATGGTAACTGCAATCGTGATGTATCGTGTATGCGAAATATCGGAGTAGTTTGATACAGGTGATTATTCCATTTGATCGTAGCAAAACTTTTATTTAGGCCTTATAAATTTGAATACATAATCACAAGTACAATATACCATGGATATAAATAACATAAAATGTTTTAACATATTTAATCTTAGAATGCTATCGTACGTAAATTTTACGTGCAAGTGAGCGAGATCATTGACCGCTAAAGCTATGCCTTCAGTGATCAGCAGGGAGTCCAATCTGCCATGAAAGCAAGGACAAGCTTTAAAAAATTCAATTCGTTGTATATCACTTTGAACTCTCAGGTGATCAGTAACAAAGAGTGTAATAAGTGTTGTCAATTTTTAAGCAGTTTTGTGTTATATATTTTATTAGTATATAAATGTTGAGGCCACATTGAGGACTTATAACACAATCTATATCATTTAAGATTAAATTTGCTTATTTTTTCTTTCCTTTCAAGTTAAGTAAGATAAATGTAAGGTATAAAATTCCTTCAGTTACATAGAAAAAACGATTTTGCTGAAACATTTTTTTTTTAATTTAATTAGATACAGACTTGAATATAATTTTGTTGGACCATTAAAAATAATTATGTAGGAAACTTAAGTATGATGAACAATGCTACAAAATATGTTTCTAAATTCTAAATTATAAATATTTTGTCATAAAAATGTAAAATGTATGAAAATTTTGTGTTATTAATTAAGAATGGCCTATTTCTTTATATGTAAAATTTACGTATTAATAACAGTACTGTATTATTCAATATTAATAGCGTCCTAAGATTAAGATTGATCTAAAATTAATATAAAACAAACTGTGTAAAACATATCCAAATCGTATATGCTTAATTAAAAGATCAAAAGATACAATAACAAAAACTAAATGATGTTACTTGATAATAACGTGCAAACTAATTGCTGAATAGTATATCATGTATATAAAAAATACGTACAAGTTTTAAAATTTTTCTGAAACTCTCTTCTCTCAGAATTTGATTAACTTTACTCATGAGAAAGAATCGCGAATATCGTCCGTAATAACGTATCCCATTTTATTCATTTCTTCGATGATTTTCGGATCTTTAATTATGGATTGAATCCATTTATAATAGGGCAGCTCTTCCCTTATGCCCCCGTATGCTTTTGGCAAGTACTGAGGCAAGACGTGTTTGTGCAGACTCTCGTAATTGTTACCGTGGAAGAATAGCTTGTTTCGCATGTTGGCATCAAGCAATGGTTTGAAGACCGCGAAGATCGCGTCGAAGACCCACGACTGATTAAGGATGTGCAGCGCGTGAATTCTAATGGGGAACGCAGTTACCATCACAGACAACATCATACTTGCCACCTAAAAGAAGGATTCGTCTTCATGTCTTATTGATGTATTATTACAATAGCGCTCCTATGACATCTTTAATTTTGTACAACTATATTTGTCACAAACAATCTACAAATAATATCAAATTCCATGTAATAAAACTCTCCATGTAATTAAACATTTTTAATAATTAAACAATTTAACATTTTTCTTACGATTTCATCATTTTTCAAAATTTCGAAACTTAAGCAGAACAAATCACGATAATGTCATAATAATATTAAAATAAATCATAAATGATTGAAAAAGTGACTTTTAGTGATTATTTTATTATTAGTGATAGTCATTTATTAGAATAATTTTGACGCTATTTTGATATCATGTCTTATATTCTTGAATAAATTTCAGAATTTTGTAGAATAATTTTATAAGGTTTCAGAAAATTTTTCGGATTTTTTTTATCAATTAGAATATTTTCATAGAAGTACTGAAAAAGTCTACATCTTTTTTAGAATTCTTTATATATAAATTTTAAAATATTCTTTCTGATATTTCTCATATTATAATTTCTCTGAAGGAAACTCTTATAAATTCTGAAAAAGTTTAAAGTACTTTTTTGAATATTTTTATCAATTAAAAATAAATATTTATACCATATTAAAAATTCTTAAAAAGATTATAAGACATTAATACCTGACCTTTATTATTGTTTTTGTTTTTGATTATAAGACATTTTTAAAAACTTTTTTCACCGAAGAAAAAAGAGAAAAAATAATAACGAGGCATCAGATATACCTGAGGCGTCACGGACCATGCATGTGTCATAGAGATATCCTTTAAATCGAAAATGGCTATACCACCCATGATTTGTTGTCTAGGTTCAAGCATGCCGATTTCAAGGATTCCAACTGTAGCCTTGAAGAGCATCTCGGCAGGATATTTACGCGGATTCCAATTGCCAAAACGGTAAATCATTAAGCGCCTACCGCATTGAGTCCTATACGATGGCACCGTGATCACATCATCTTCACCTATGTACCTCATCTCGGTCGAGTTCAGCTGCTGATGGATCTCCGGATGTTCCTCTTTGAAGTTGTAGTAATTCACTATCTATCAAAAGATTCCTTGAGAAAAATAGGCTTTGATGTTCTGTGTACTGTCATTCATGAGCAAATGTCATAAAATTACGTATTCCGCGAAATATTTGCGAAGTATTTGCATTATAAAATAGCAAATACTAGTCACACACGCTGAACATTTCATTCCATTCATTATCGCAATTTAATATAAGATATTATTATGAATTCTTGATTGTTAGATTGATATAAACTACATCATTAATCAATTATTCATCAGCTGTTTTCGTCAATTGTGTATATAATAGGCCATTTGTTTGCATATGCAGATAAGAAAATTGAGCGATAGAGAGATAGCGGTCGTCTTAAAGCTAATTTAGATAGGGAATTACTTTAAATTTATATCAATCTTTATTTTATTTTTTCATTAAAATGTTGAAATTATACCGTGGTCATTGAATCAATTATTAAAAGCGAATTAATAATTGCTCTGTTCCAAAAAGCTTTTTACTTCCACTAATTCTAATTTTCATGGAATACACACACAAATGCGCCAGGTATTTCTTGAAAGGTTTTGAAAGATCTTGAAAGATACATCAGTTCACCCTGACATAATTGTATAACTAGAAGTTTTACTTCATGCGCTTATCTTATTGATGTATTTTCACTTAATTGCCGACAAAGATCATAAATACTCGTTATTTCAACATTCCTAATAAAATTTTATAAAAAAAAATTTTATAGAATTCAAAATGACATTCTTATCTTGTAAAGAAAAATATTTTGAATCAACAATTATTATCAATAATTATTGTTATCAATAATCGTTATTATCAATATTATTTACAATCACATTTTTGAACAAATTTATTGTTTTGGAAAACAATTTCGAACTAAATTACACAGAGCATACAATCCAAGATAATATAAAATAATGAAAATATAAAATAGAATAATAAAAATTAATACAAATATAAACAAAAGAAAAGAAGATAGATTTTTGCGATTAAATCAATTTAGATTACTTCTTGAGAAAATTAATGACAGAAGAAAACAAATATGCAGATTATTTTTGCAATTATATTGAATTTATTGGCTTACATTGGACATAACAAGATGCATAATAATCTTTCTTATTACTTTTCTGAATATTCCGCTAATGATCCTAAATGACGCAATCTTCTAAACGAGATTAAAATTACTGTTTATGTAGGATTGAGTTTCTGACATTCAAAAAAAATAAATAGCTACCTACGTAATTATTTACGGATCATTTAATATTTGATTTGTGTTCCTATTAGATGTATAAATTAGATACACATATATTTAATTGCCAAACAAACAAAGTCCATTATAAAAATTAGCTAACTTAGGTATTTCTAAAATTGAATTGCGTAAATGACAGAAAAATTTGTCCTAATTAACCTAACATATTAAGTGTTATTTGTTAATTTATAATTTTATCTCTCTCAAACTATGTCTTTAATTCTGTAGAGAAGACCATTTAAGTACATATTATTGGAAAATTTAATGCAAAGTATAAATAACTTGAAGAAATATTCTTCTTTTTTCTTTAATAAATTATGCACATTTTCATATAAATTAATTTTATATAAATTAATTTACTTTTAAAAAAAATTTCTAGAAAATTTTGCTCTTCTAAAAACTGCGACTTAGAAAAACAGCGACCTTTGGTAACTTCGTCGGAATTTGAGCTTCGTTTTAGGATCCCCTTAATGATTCTTCTTATGTTTTTCACTTTTAATCTACTTTAGAATCTATTAGAATTTACATTTCACAATGTTGCAATCAACGTTTCTAAGATGTCGATTAGAGCAACATTATTTGTAACGATTTTTCCGATAATATTATTGAAAATTATCTCCAAATCAGTGCTAAAGTTTGTTCATAATAATACAACATTATACAACATTAAATACAACATATTTTTTATTATATGTTATTGAGTGCAATTGTAATAACATTGTAATAATGATTTTTTGCTTATGATTTTTGTTGAATTATTAGTTAAAAAAAAGTTTCTATTGCTACACATTTTGAATTGAGGAACTTTTTAAATAAAATTGAAACGTATGTAGAGATATATATTATATGTAGAAATGGAGTACGTATATAAGTCAAGCTTGACTTGTTATCGTGCATTCAATTACAACTTCATTCCGACAAAATGTTTTCAATTTAATATTTTTGTATTGAAGCAAGCTACATCTAAAATAGTTTACATTTGTTTTTTTTTGTAATAGCATTCAATCAAAAATTATATAACTTTGAGAGATAATATTTAGATATAATATTTAAGAGATATAATATTTATGAAAATATATCCGCAATGTGTTTTTTAGTTCTATTACGTCATTAATTTGATATGGTTATGATATAGTAAACTTACATCACTTTATATGAAAATTTATCCCAATCTATCAAATAAACTGGCTAAGTAGCATATTCGTGTTTCACTTACTATAAAAAACCTAAACAAGATTCTGGGATATAGAGAAAGATTGCCCTTATCATATTAGTATAATTTAATCATAATAATTAGTAAAAATCGATTGCTGAAATTATGCCAAGAAACACTGGTCTTTCCTACTCTTTACGTAACTAGTTTTACATTTCATATCTATAAGCATAATCCGATATAATTTATGTATAATTAAATTCAAAGAGTCTTCTTTTTTTTAATAAGTAATGTGAATCAGCTAATGAATAATGTTATATGATCAGATTAAATAAATATATTGTTGATCTAAAAATAATAAAGTTGATTCATTACTTCATAATCATTATAACTTTTTATAAATTGTTAATTACATTTCGCTCGACATATGTTGGAAAATGTATGAAAATAAATATTTATCAGGATTTATAGTAGCAATGATAAGTTTACAATATCTTTTGAGAAAAATTGAATACAAGATATCACAGGCTTGCTAATAAGTGCTGACAAATGTTTATTTTTATACTTTTTCGAACCACAGCATATATCGAACTAAATATTGTTAACAATTTTGCAGTTACAGCATTTTTCTTTGTCTCATGACTGACATTCTATTTCTGCATATGATAAACTCTTATCAGCTTTACGTGACAAAAAGCGCATTGACGCGAGCATACTTTTAATAATAAAAGCATACGCCTCTTTCATCGATTTCAACTGTTCGCTTCGTTGCAACTGTCATTGTCAATGTCTATGTATCTATAACTCACCAGCTTATGCGCACTCTTTATATTAAAGTTTCTCGCGCGAAGAAATCTGATGAGAAAAGCGTCGTCCATCCTGTGTGGCAAACACTCGCCTCTCTCTGTGAAAGAATGCATACAGAATCTTGTTAACATCGAATAATGTAAATATGACAATATTTTTCTATTTGTTCGCGAAACGTTACAAATTCTATGAATTTTAATCATGTTTTAAATATATCTAGCTGATATATTCAAGAGATTTTCTGACAAATATTGTGATTCTATATTTATAACATAAAAAACATGTACCTAAGGAAACACAGTTGCTAATATCTTCTTTAAAGGAATCTTAAAGCCATCTGTATTATCAACTAAATAGTAATTTTTGTATAACAATTATTTTTTTCCTCTTTTACAGATTCGAAAATTCTTTTCCAGGATTAAAATATACGCATTAATATATGTCTATGGAATTTATATCATGAACAATAAAACATTTTTCTTAAGTCTGGATCTACAATATGTATTTTAAGCCGTAAGAAATTGACCAACTACAGTTGATTGTAAGGAGAATAATTAATTGTGATTCATCCATTTCTTACGACTTAAAAATCTATTATAGATCCGGGGTAAAATATCAATTTCGAAATTTTTTGTCGTTCTTGGCATAAACTCTACTTCACAGACAGATATTATTTATGCATATACTTCAATTGTGGAAAAGGATCTTTGAATCTGTAAAAGAGGAAAAAAGTAATTATTACATAAAGAGTAGAAAAAATTTTACAATCCCTTTAAATTCTTTTTTCAAATTTTTAGCCCAAAGAAGAGAAATAGCTTGCTTCTGTATTTATAACAATAGAAATATGTACATTTATGAAATCATCGTTGCTACCACTTTTTTTAATTTTTTTAATTTTTTAAAAATTCTTGTCTAAAGAAAGAAATTTTAAGTTTATATTTATGAATATAATAATAAAAATTGAATATGTATTTACAGATCAACATTATTGCTAATATCAAAATGACTATATCACAAACAACTGTTGACAATAAAATCTAAAAC